ACCGGCCTCCTCCGCGTCTGCGGCAAATGAGCTCCCCACCACTGACCACCCCTCCCCATCACTGGCGCTCATCCCACTAGGCCTCCAGGCTTCTGGGGGGTTCCACTGGCACGTCAGGCCAACGGAGGGCCCGGCTGGTGCCAGGGCCGGGACACAGCAGGACTGTAGCAGTGTCTCGTGGGCCCAGGGGGTGGGTGTTTGCAGAGCCTGGTTCCATGAGAAAATGCCATAAATGTTTGAAAACAGACATCAAAACGGCGAGTTTGCCAGCCACCCTGGACACGGTCACATCACGCTCTGTCCCCTGCCCCGCATCCTGGTGCGGGTGGGCGTGAGCCCCTGGTCCAGTTTAGGCAACTACAGATCAGGAGCTGGGTGATGCCTTCATCCAGGAGCACATTTATTGAGTGCCCACTGTATGCCAGGACCGCCCTGTGAACAGTGTGCTAACTGCCGGGCCCCGCCCCCCTCAGGGCCCAGGGTCCCTCCAGCCAGGCGCCCTGCAGCCGGGCTTGTGGGGGCTCCGTGGACACTTATGAGCTGCGTTCGTTGAACGAGGAGCGAGACGAGGGATCGTGCACAGCCAGGCAGCGGTCGGCAGGGTCCTAGGGGGTCAGGCGGAACCCACCTCAACCGCACAGTAAAAGAGAGGGGTTTGGACCCCAAATCACAGTCTGGGGTGACCCAGGGTGGCCACAGGCCCAGGTGCTCACCCGGGGAGTGTCCTCAGGGGGGTGCCCTGGTCCAGGGCGGGGCGCTGGCCTTCGGACCCCCTCCCCCTCCACACAGCAGCTCTGCCGTGGCCTGTGCCAAGTGGGGTTCCACAGAAGGGCTAGTTCGACAACGGGTTCTGCTACTAAAAATGTTTGAAAACCACAAAGGGAGTCCAATCCCAGCACTTCCCGGAGGACTGGCCGGTACGGGCCTCGGGCCCTGAGCTGCGTCTGCGGCAAATGAGCCCACCCGCCAGGCCTGGGAAGGCGCCCACCCTCCGGCGGGGCTGGGGGTGACCCAGGGCTTTCCCATCGCCCAGCCATGGGTAATGGAGAAGGCGGCTTCCTTTTAATTAAGGATCTGCTGGGGCTGGTGCCCCCGGAGGGGAGAGCGGAGCTGCGGGATCGTTAGCCAGACAAAAGGCAAATCCTCTTAGCTGCTCTCGGGCCACGGCAGGGTAATTGCTCGGAGCTCCTGCCCCGCAGGTCTGGGCCAGACACCCGGCT